TCGTTTGGTGGTTTTGGATTACCTTTTGGTCCTAATTTCTCTCCCTACACTTCCCTTGGATTTGGATCTCAAACTAGTTATGGTCCTCAGAATTTTGGTCTTGGTCTTGGACCTCAAACCGGCTATGGCTCTCAAAATTTTGGCTTCCTTCCTAATACTGGAATTCTACCTTTTCATGGATCAACCAATGTCTTTGGACACCCAGGCTCACCACAGTGGCCAACTCATGCATTAAGTGGCTCCTTTGGGTCGACTTTACCTAATTTTGGCTTCACACCACCTGGTTTTGCACTCCCAGCAGCACCATCTGCCACTCAGCAAGCTCATCCGAGCTCTGCATCCTCTTCTCAGCGAACTGTTCCAATCTTGAACACTGCCACAACATGGATTCCTAATTCAGGAGCTTCTCACCATGCCACTCCCGATCCATAGCATTTACTTCAAAGTGCTCAATTTACTAGAGCTGAGCATATTGTTATGGCTAATGGTCAAGGTACATCTATTACCTCAATTGGTTCTAATATGTTTCGGTCCCCCATTCGTCCCTCTACTATTCTGTCTTTAAAAGATCTTCTCCTTGTTCCCAATTTAACCAAAAATCTGATTAGTGTTTCCAAGTATGCTAAAGACAACAATGTCTATTTTGTATTCTATCCTCACTCTTGTTTTATCAAATCACAGGATTTGAACGAGACTCTTCTTGAAGGAAAACTTGGTGAAGATGGTCTTTATCGGTTTCATCCATCTTTAGCAAAGAGTGCATCACTAAAAGATGATATTATAGAAAATTCAGTTTCCAGTTTCCCTAAATCCTGTATTTTTCTTACTGAAACATGTACAAATGTTGTTCCTACTGTTTACAAACAATGGCACTTGCGGTCACGGCATCCCCATCATGATGCACTAACTAAGGCCTTAAAATCCTGTAATATTCATGTTCCTACTGTTAATAAAATTTCTGATTTTTGTGACTCATGTTGTATTGCAAATTGGGTGCACCCAAAGTAATAGGCATATCATATGAGTGATTTGGTAGGCATACTGTAGAGTACTGGTATGAATCAATTACAGGGAAATATATCAACGTTTAAGTGTAAGACAACTATTGATAGAATTAGTCAATTCCATTTCTCAAACTCCTAAATTATCTCTGAAATCTTTGTTAAGTTCAATGGTTATTAGTAAATGTTGCAATTAAAATGCAAAAAACAGTTGAAGTTCTCTCATGTTCATCTCAATCATGGATTTTCTTTAGCTTAGATAAAGTTGTGGAAAAGGAATACTTTTGACTAGAGTTTAGTAGAAGGCATGTGTCTATTTAGTATTTACACATTCACTCACCTAAGATAACTAAACACCAATATGTTTCTTATATTTTAGTTTTTGGAGGGAGCAATAGATGAGAGGGATCCAAAGGTATGTAACATAGTAACACTAGTTGAGCAAATTGGGTGCACCCAAAGTAATAGGCATATCATATGAGTGATTTGGTAGGCATACTGTAGAGTACTGGTATGAATCAATTACAGGGAAATATATCAACGTTTAAGTGTAAGACAACTATTGATAGAATTAGTCAATTCCATTTCTCAAACTCCTAAATTATCTCTGAAATCTTTGTTAAGTTCAATGGTTATTAGTAAATGTTGCAATTAAAATGCAAAAAACAACATCGCGTATCAAATCGCATGATCCGACTCCGAGGCCGAGCACGCTTCGGCCGAACACTCTCAAGACGAGCACTCTCGCGGATCAAATACACTTCGCGTATCAAATCGCATGATCCGACTCCGAAGTCGAGCACGCTTCGACCGAACACTCTCAAGACGAGCACTCTCGCGTGCTCCAACACACTTCGCGCATCAAATCACGTGACCCAACTCCGAGGCCGAGTACGCTTCGGCCGAACACTCTCAACCCGAGCACTCTCGCGTGCTCCAACACAGTTCGCGCATCAAATCGCGTGACCCAACATTTCGGGGCCGACCACACTTAGGCCGAACACGCTCAAGCCGAGCACTCTTGCGGATTAAATACACCGCGTATCAAATCGCGTGATTTGACTCCGAGGCCGAGCACGCTTCGGCCGAACACTCTCAAGCTGAGCACTCTCGCGGATCAAATACACCGCGTATCAAAATCGCATGATCCGACTCTGAGGCCGAGAACGCTTCGGCCGAACACGCTCAAGCAGAGCACTCTCGCGGATCAAATACACTTCGCGTATCAAATCGCATGATCTGACTCCGAGGCCGAGCACGCTTCGGCCGAACACTCTCAAGACGAGCACTCTCGCGTGCTCCAACACACTTTGCACATCAAATCGTGACCCAACTCCGAGGCCGAGCACGCTTCGGCCGAACACTCTCAACCCGAGCACTCTCGCGTGCTCCAACACATTTCGTGCATCAAATCGCGTGACCCAACATTATGGGGCCGACCACGCTTCGGCCGAACACACTCGAGCCTGAATGCCCTTCATCCTCATTCAGGTTACTCTGTAGAGGGGGTTGATCTGAGGGACGCCGAGGGAGTTGGGCACGAATGCGCTCGTTCTCGGCGCGTAGTGCCGCTAGGTCGGCTTCATTAGCGGTGCACATTGCCGCTAGACCATTTTCGTGCTTGGCACGCATGCTTTGTAGGTCGGCAGCGTGTCCTAGCACTCTCGCGAATCAAATACACTTCGCGTATCAAATCGCATGATCCGACTCCGAGGCCGAGCACGCTGCGGCCGAACACGCTCAAGCCGAGCACTCTCGCGGAATGGAATGGATAAGTTTTTTTTTTATGTTACTCTCTCCTGTCTCAAATATAAGCTAAAAAAAATCACGTGAATGTTAGTCTCAATTATAAGCAATTTTCAAATTATTTGACCTTATTTAATACTACTATCTCCAAAATATGGTTCATTTAATTGAGGTTTTATTTCCAAGTACTCTTTTTTCTTATTGATATCAAATTCCAATAAAGGGGAATTCAGGAAAATAGTTCTCTCGTTATTCAATTAAATGATATTAACTTTTCTTAATTAGCATAAATTAGTTTTGTTTTTTGCTTATATATGAGAACAGAAGGAGTATATATTATGTTTCGATGCTTGTGTATGTTGCATTACTCTTTTTGGCTTTCTGCATGCACTCAAATATAAACTACTTCACAGGGACGAGTCAATTGTGTTTCATCTGCAACCTCAACTCTCCATACATCTGTTTCCATATTTAATTAATACAGGTATCCATTCGACTAATGTTATTGTGCTCTATGTGATCCATAGAAACTTTATGAGGAAGCAAGTCAAGTAGCGAATGATGCAGTAAGGAATATCAGAACAGTTGCCGCTTTCTGTGCAGAAGAGAAGGTGATGGAGTTGTATCAGAAGAAATGTTTAGGACCAATCCAGACAAGTATAAGGCAAGGTTTAGTCAGCGGAACAGGTTTTGGGTTATCACTTTTCTTTCTATTCTCTGTTTATGCATGCAGTTTTTATGCTGGGGCCAGACTTGTTGAGCATGACAAAACATCAATCTCAGATGTTTTCCGTGTAAGTTATTGTCCTATCTTTGTCACCATCCCACATATGGAGCTTTTTACTTATCTTAATTATTTCTGACAAAGCATAAGCTAAATTCTAAGATAAATTAAGAAAGTGTTTTCTTTTTCTTTAAAATAAAACAACGTAGATAATTTGAGAGCTGCTATCATTGAACAATTCATTTTTCAGGTATTTTTTGCTCTCACAATGGCAGCTGTTGCAATGTCACAATCTGGCCTCATGACCCCAGCAGCAAGTAAAGCAAAAAGTTCTGTTGCTTCTGTATTTGCTATTCTTGACCAGAAATCAAGGACAGACCCCAGTGACGAGTCAGGAATGACATTGCAAGAAGTGAAGGGAGAGATTGAGTTCCACCATGTCATTTTCAAGTATCCAACCAGGCCTAATGTTCTTGTATTCCAAGCTCTTTCCTTGACCATTCATGCAGGAGAGGTAACTAATGAAATAATCTATTGGTTTGATGCATAAATCTCATCATAGGAACATGTGATTCTTTCAGACAACCTTTCTTAAGTAAGAACCTAAGAGTTTGATTATACTGATGGAAATCAGACAGTTGCTCTAGTAGGTGAAAGTGGAAGTGGAAAGTCTACAGTGATCTCATTGTTACAAAGATTTTATGAGCCAGATTCAGGTCAGATTACACTGGATGGAACAGAAATCCAAAAGCAGTATGGATAGTACAACTAGTATATAATTATATTTGTTCTTGTATAGGGGATTGTCTTTAGAAAATCTTAGTTCCTATATAAGTTCAGAGTATTTAGTAAATGTAATGTCACCTATCTAGTGTTTAAAAGATCTCATATATATTGAAGTTCTATCTTGAGCATCAATTTCTTATTTCTTACTTAGATATCTTAATTAATGATATATACTTACTACCATTAGTTTTATAAATCATGACATTTATGGTCATTATCAAACACAACTCTATAAATCATAAGTAATCTCGCCATCCACAACACTTTGTCTAATGGTCCACATATTGTTGGGGGGAACTCAATCGTCGATTGATGATCACGTGGACTTGGTTGGAGGCTAGGCATGAGGCTTCGTTGGCTAGTGGGGCACTTGGAAGTACTTAACTCTTTAGGCTTGAGTGTTGAAAATACAGAGAGTTTAACAATTCGAGGAGCTCAGTTGATGGGAGATTCAAGTAACACATAACCCTTCAGGCTCAAACGTTGAAGGCACAAAGAGTCTAATAATTGGAGGACCTTAATTGGCGAGAGACTTGAACAATGCACAAGTAACACAACCTTTTAGGCTTGAGTGTTGAAGGCATGAGGAGTCCAATAGTTTGAGGACCTCAATCAATGAGAGACTTGGACAATATTGGTTAGCGAGAAACCCAATAGTACATAAGCCTCCATGCTTGAGAATTACAGGCATGAAGAGTCTCTACCTTGGGTATGGTCGGTCGACTAAAGGCCCAGACGATAATTGTAATATGAATCATTTGTTAAAATAGTAGTAATTCAAGTTGAGCAAGACACTACCAATTGTAACAAAGTGTTTCACATTTTGTTTCGAAGTCTTTCGTACCTTATTAGGTACATTCGTTGAAAGAATAAATATTTGGCTATTTACCAAATCTTTTATAAGTTGTGTACTTTGTCGAGTATGTTTGTTCAATAAATAGGTGATTGATATTTTATCAAGTCATTATTTACAAATTTTTTTTTACTTCATCAAGTAGGGTTGTGGAATAAATAACTAGTAGTTTATTGAATTGTCGCTCACAAGTCTTTTATGCCTCACTATGTAGTCTTGTTGAATGAATAAATAATTTGTATTTTACTAAGTCATTGTTCACGATTCCTTTGAATTTCATTGAGTAATCTTGTTGAATAAGTAGATATTTGGTCATTTACTGAGCCGTTTTTTGTTGGTTTTTGAAGGCAATTTGCTTTGAGTTGTGGTGTTACCCATATTTCATCATTTAGTGAAGGACTTGAAATGCTCTTTGCAACAAGGTATTGATTCGTTCATCATCCATAAAATGCGTCTTCAGCTTTAAAGGTGTATGTTGGTAAAGACCTTAAAACATTCTTCACATCGAGGTATTGTTTCATTCATTGACCTAAAAACACGTCCGCAACACAATGGGTATATGTTGGTGAAAACCTTAAAGTGTTATTCATGCCAAAGTATCAATTCATTCATTAACCTTAAAATGCGTCTAAAGGTGTTTGTAAATTGTAAGCTTCATTATTTACAACTTAAAGGACTTGGTAATGGCTTATACATTTATTCATTCACCTAGTTTGGTCAAGAACTATATCTTCCTTATTTTTTTTCTCCATCTCCCTCTTTTTGTGCCTTACTTTCTTCGACCTTAATGTGACAAGTCACCTTGACATAAACTTTTGACTTACTATCTACCATGTGAATCGATGACTCTCCAAACTTTTCTTCTCTTAAACCTTTCCTAATGCTACCATGACCATTCTCTTAACTGCGTTGGGCACCTGAACGATCACTCAGTTAAACTTGTTTGGGCATTCTTGTAGGGTTTCTCTCATTAACTACCAAACATCACTTAAGTTGGCTAACGTTGATGGCTTCTCCTTATTGGTTGTAAACTGGACGAGGAGCAACTTCGAGAGGACGTCAAAGATGATCATTGATCTATTTGAAAAACAATTAAGCCATTTTAGTTTAGTCGTAGTAAGAGTGCCTATGAACATCTTATAGTGAATCATGTTAGTCCCACTACTAATAAACATGTGTACCCTAAAGGTCATCAAGTGTTAATTAGGATCATGAGAGTCATTAAAGGGCTACACCTTAGGACCGTGAAGTGAGTCGGTACCACCTCATTCTTGATAGCCATCGAAAAAGGATGGAACTCCCTAGGGGGCTCTACACTATCTTCAACGTTTTTTCATGATGCAAGGTGTCAATTTGCATGTGTAGAGTCTTCTTCGTCTCCACTTTTATTCTTCCTTGGTGTTGCATGGCCTCTTCATTCTCCCAACGACTTCGTTCCACCTCTTCCACTCTCATTCTTGCTTCTTCTCCCTCTAATCGTGACATCTCCACATGGTTATCATCTCCTACAATGTAGGCTCATCATAAACTTGGTTGCTTTCACCAACTTCCTTAAATTTGATTTAGCTAGCCCCATTAACATTGCTTCTCAATGGCCTCATCATCATAAACATCCATTCACATGAGGCAACCAAGGTGTGGAATCAATTTTACCTAAGCTCCACAATGAGCATTAAAATGTTTTGTATGAAGGACAACCTCTAGAAAATCTTGATTTTTGTCCAAGTCCAAAAAATTTAATGTGTAACATCCCTTATCTAGCATCTTGAAGACCTCATTTATACATGAGTTATATCTTGAGCATCAATCGCTTTGTTTATTTCCAGATCCCATAATTAGTGTTATTACTTATTACCATTAATAGTCCCATAAATCACGACAGTTATGGTTGTTATCGAATACAACTTCTTAAATCATGCCTTTTCTTGTCGTCCACAACACTTTGTGTAATGCTCTGTTATGGGGAGGCACTTGTTCATCAACCATGTGTCATCCTGTCGTATAAGGACTTGATTAGGTGCTAGGTATAAGGTTTGTGTGGAGTTGTCTTACTATTAAAAGAGTTAGTAAACCAAGGTTTTCATCCCTAGATCGACGAGAGGTTAGGACAATACACATCCTTCCAAGATCGAGTGTTGAAGGCATGAAGAGTCTAACAGTTTAAAGAGCTCAATTGGCAAGAGATCTGGATGGTATACAACCTCGAAGCTTGAGTGTTGAAGGCACAAAAAGTCTTACAATTTGAAGAGCTATGTTGTCGGGAGGTTCAAAAAGTACATAATCTTTCAAACTTGAGTGTTGAAACCATGAAGAGTCTAATTATTTGAGGGGCTCAGTCAGCTTAAAGGTTAATCTATATAAAGCACAATCAACGATGGACCTGATATCAATCTAAGAGTTAAGTATTCATTTTAGAATTCCAACTTAGTCAATGATGATCTTAAGGTTGTCTTAAAGGCTCATGATAGTCTACAGTATAACACTGAGTCACTTTTAAGATAGACAACTATTCCCACAAATTAACATAAATCTTTTCAATATGTTTTATCCTTACTTAGGAAACTTTCCAAAAAGTTATTTAACTCAAAATTAAATCGTTCCAATTAAAATATGATTAATTATAAGTTAATGAAAATTGATAGTCAAGTTTTGAGACATTCATTTTTATTGATAGTGAAATTTTGAAATATGGTTAATTATAAGTTTCTACATATTTTAATTAAGTTTTGCACTATAGGACTTTATTGAGCTTAATTGCTAATCACCAATAATTTTTTAATTTTGTTGCTTTCCATGAATTTGTTTTCTTTCATAAAGCATATTTAGAGCAAAAGGAACACAATTTGGAAGATCTAGATATTTAGCTACGATAGAGATTCTACATTTCCTTTTCTCACAAGCATGAACCAATTAGGCTGGATTCAAGACAATTGAACCTACAAGTTTCAACTTTGTTGATGGCACAACAGAACACCCCCACCCACCCACAAAAAAAAAATCTAAATTGAGCATAATGCTTTGATGCTAAGCCCAATAAAATCTTATAATGCCTCTTATTGAGGAGACAACAAAATACGAGTTTAGACTTTTCATTTGCTTAGTTTCAGAGTTAGGAATTTCACTTTTCTCTGTTATTCTCTCTTGGGTTTCGTATGTTGTTGTACTACTTTTCTGGATTTCTTTTTTTGATTTGTGTCTATGTGACACCGGAGAGTGGTGTGGGAGAAAAGAAAACTTGAAAAAAGGGTGATGGATTATTGGTTGCATTTTGGGTTAATTGTGAATATTGATTACATTTTTTTTTTAGATGTGTGTTGGTTTTTGTCTCTGAACAATGTGGTTGCATTTCGGATCATACAAGATAGTGGTTGATAATTGGGTCTTTGTAATGTTATTTAAAAGTTCTTGGTTGATAATGAATTACTTTAGCTAAAAATGTAAGTTATTAATGAAATAGGGTATATCGTAGCTCTAATTAATTCAAGATAAATTATTATTTTATCGTCTATGTGCAAGAAAGATGACCACGGCATGAAGGAGTTGATTTTCAGCCATAATAGTGGTAACTAAAAGATACCTATTAAAATTCAATCTTATCGAAAACAATTAAAGTCAAATAAGAAACAAATTTAATAATTTGTTTGCCTATTTAAAACATTAGAAGTCAAGCATCCTTAGAAACGAGTGAGATGATACAAAATAGTAGGTGTGTATGAGTGTATCATCTACTACCTATGACAATGACACCATGTAATTAAAATTCACCTTGATATTGAATTTCTCAAATTGATCTCAACCACTAAATTTTGTATTAAATATTAATACATCAATGACTCAAAGAACTTGGTGGCTATTCAGTCCTCCAAATGCAATGTGAGGACATTTGGCAGTAAACATTTATTAATTTGAAAGGCACAAACATGACTGCATGTATAGTCATCATGTGATAGCTAAGTACCGAAAGGAAAAACAAATTGTACTGAACTAAGTAAATTTTGTTAAAACTTGGGAAATTGGATTTGTGAACCACATTTGCTCTTTGGAAGCAAAGGACACTCGATGAGATTTGAGGCAGAAGTGTCCACGCATACATAAACTTGGTAAAGTTGACTATTATGTGCTGAATCTCTGTTGCATTCAATCCCTGGGGCAAACCCAGTACCCTCTTTTATAGCATCTGAAATGCTTTCTAGGCTGTAAAATCCATCATCTGGTTCAATCCCTGAAATTCATCAAATGCTGTATATTAGAATGGTTGGTAAAATTATTTTTCTTCTTCTTTTTATCCATCATTTTTGAATTTGTTATTTCAAAATCTTGTCTATATCATAATTATCCCCCACTAAACGTGGTCAACCAGATTTCCTGATGGGTACTAGTCATTAATAAAGTCGATGATACTTTGTATCAGTAACATGATTATTTGAAAAAAAATCATAAATATCTTCCACTGGATGCATCCCTGTTTGAACTGCTTTAAAACTTTTAACAGAACATTCACTATTATTTATTAACTATACTAAAAAAAAAATAGAAACAATAGTGGATTAAATATTTTTAAAAAAAGTAAATGCTTATAAGGCAGATTAACTTAGGTAAAACTTTGATTTTTAGAGAAGTTGTGCACTAAACTTAAGTCTTTTTTTTGAATTTGTATTGGGTTAACTGTAGTGTTACTCACCTGCATTCTTGAGGGTCTGAAGGAGGTTTACTTTTTGCTTGAGTTTGAGAGTTGCTTCAAAGTACTCATGCTGATCAAGCTCAGATTCTGCACAGGTGCCATGTTTTTCCCATTCGTGTGACCAGAACCTCATGCCATTGCTACTTGGGCAACTCAGGGATGGCCAATTCTTCTCCATGCTGCTAACGAGGTCTGAGATCTACACCAAGTGCATGTGGTTCATTAATTTTTCAGTTAGAGAAATGCACTATTATCATAACACCAATTAATAAACTTATTAAATATGTACTTAGATAGATGTATAATTAGTACTAAAAAGTCATTAACTCAAGTAGTTTGATACTTTCTTAACTAAGAATCGGTATTTGATTTTCTTTTTCCTAAACATAGAGTCGCGACTAGAGATACTACTTTATTCCTATAGAATTGATCAGATAAAAATGAATTAATCCTCGTTATCAAACCAAAAATAGATAGATATATGATTATTGATTGGGTATCTTCTTCATTCCCTTTTCTTTTTAAAAAAATTAAACCTTGTTTTAAATTTTTACCCTTATGCAAGATCTAGATCTATACTTTACCTGTTTCAACTTTAAGTACATCAAGAAAATTGATGAGACGTACCTAGGAATTCAAATCTTATCACACTAAGTGAATTCAAGTCTTGGAAATTTTTCTTGTTTGCACCAAAAGTATTTCTTAACCGATAGTCAGATACTAATTCCTTTATACATAAATGTCTTAGAGCAACAGAAATTAAGCTATTTATGAAGGTCATGACATAACTCTTTTAATTTGCACCAACAATAGTCGGATACTAATTCCTTTCGCACAGTTATGACAAAGCGTGTGTATGGTACCTACTCATATCAACTCTTGTCTCTTCCAACACCAATATTTTCAGATTGTTTAAGGCCAAACAGTAGCATTACTTGATCTACATTACTATGCACAGATTCAGTCCTAAACCTCATTAATTTAATCCGTGTAGTTATGTTCTATGCTTTTATCAATTACAATTTTAATCCATCATAAACTTCTGTGCTCAGAAAGGCATTCCTAACCAATCAATTGAAAATCTTTCACTGGCTCATAGTGCATGTGTAAATAGTTTATAACCAAATTCATCAAACATTATTCACCATGTATCTCTTTTCAGATTATAAATACCTGAGATTTATCAAAGACACTGTCAGGATCACAATTTGAGGGCCATGAGCCATCATTGTAGTTGGGCCAGAGTCCATGAATGCTGAAATCTGCTGCAGGTTTCCCAGTCTTGGGATAACAGCAGCTCTGCTTTGTGTCACAGTATGCTCCTGGCCACTAGTGAATAATGCACATATATAAACAAATAACAACATAAGAAAAATGAAACATATAATAAAGAAATCCATGACATGACTTATATATACCTGCTGAAC